ATAGCTTTTGTTTGTTGCATATGATTTAGTCAGATTTGTTCCTGTATAAACAGGATGGAAAGGGAGAAGTTGAATGACATGGTATTCTTATTCTTGGAAAAATAAATAAATAAACACTTTAAATATTTCAGAAAATTCTATGAGTAAAAGAAATTAAAATTACACACACATAAACACACACCCCCCCCAAAAAATCATATTTTCTTAGGGATGGAGAAACTCCCATAATTCATGAATTTAAACACAGCAGCAGCAGCTGGAATGGAAGAAGGGTGGCCAATGTGCCCTTCTCTCTGCTCTGGGATGGATATATATCTCAGCCTGTGGCAAGATGTGTAGCCATCCATTTCCAATGGAAAGGTCAGCTGTCTCTTAGCATCTGCTTGCTTTCCAATGATTTTTCCCACTTGGAGAGCCAATCCCCTTCTAGTAACCTTTAATGAAGGCTGAAAACCTCCCTTAAGTCCCATCATTACCCAGAATGCCTTTCTGCTTACAATTCCTCTCCTTCTCCAGCCCCCTTGGCTTGCCACTTGGCCACAGGTTCTTCCAGCTTCAGTTCCTGCTTCCCCTCAGCTTCCACTAACTTAGATAAAATAAGGGAGCTCTGCAATCTGCTGCTGCTGCTGCTGGTGCTTAGTGCCATCGAGTCATCTCCGACCCATAGCGACCCTGTGTAGGGTTTCCAAGGAGCAGCTGGTGAACTTGAACTGCCAACCTTACAATTCAAATGGCTTTGCAGTCTGGCGCATTAACCCACAGCACCACACCAGGACTCCCTGCTATCTGCTACTGCAGCAAAATTCCAGCTTTACAAATGTGAACAAGATAACCGCCAAGTTTTCTCTCTTGATTTTTTATCTGGGCTGATCTGAGCAGTGCAGTGAACTGCCTAGACTAATGGCCCGAGCTTCATTAACATGAGGTAGAAAAGAAAGCATCTTGTCCGCCAATACATTTCCCTCTGGATTTTAAAGGGATGGAGAAGAAAGTCTCTGAGATCCTTGGGCTGCCTTTGTCATTCTTTGCCCCGCCTGACTGTGAATCAGAAACAAGACTCCTTCAGTTTTGATCTGGAAATGGTTGTCTTTTGCTCCCACTTCCTATTAATTAGCATTTGAGGGATGGAGGAACAAGTGGTATAAGAGGTTGTCTTGGACCTCAGAGTGGAGGGATCACTATCTTTTTCCCCCCCACCCTTCTAGGACTATAAAGATCTTGGCCACTTGACTCATGCCCTACTGGCGTACTCCTCACTGTATGACTTTAAAAACGTGTTCTCACTCTCATAGTGATTCTAATTCCCTTCATAGATGTTAGACAGTAATGAGAACAATCTGCTTGGTGGGGAGGGAGCACGGGACTGTCAGCAATTGTTGTATACCAGGGAGCAGCTTCAGATGAGACAGGTAACCAGGATTCTACACACATGAGTCAGCAGCTGGGCTTCATATTCAGTCCTATAAAGGGGATCCTTTATAAGACTGAATATTGTTGATGTTGTGTGCTGTCGAGTCCAGTCTGACTCATAGTAGACCCTGTAGGACCGACTAGGACTGCCCCATAGTTTCCCCAGGCTGCAACCCTTACAGGAGCAGGTCGCCAGGTCTTTTCTGTAGGTTAATGGAATTTGATGTTAGCGTTTCATGAAGCACCACTTTTGACTGAGGGTGAGAGATTTTTGGCAAGCCCCCAGCTTTGTCACGGACATCTTGCAGTGAGCTTCAGGGCACCTGGCTGTTGTTAAGGAGTCCTTACTTGGGCGATATATCAGAAGTGCCTTTAAGTGCAGGCCAGTGCTCTCCCTGATGCTGTCGCAGATCTTCTCTCTAGTCAGTGCTGAAGAGCTTTGAACTTCCATCCCTGTTGGAATCTGGGAGGAGAAACTAGTGACCACAACCATCAATGGATTGGGAGTAGATCAAGCTACCTAATGTCTGTTCACAGCCTTGGAAACCCTATGCAGGGTCTCTATGCAACACCCATCTGTTAGCACTAGGGAAGTTGTTGTCCAGCTCTGCTCTCATCTCTAGGGATGGCCTAGGGAGGATCACTGAGAGCTGTTCATCACTGGCCAGGGAAAAGAATAGAAGCTGTGTCGCTGGGTGGCTTTCATAATGGGCCTGATTCTCATTCTCTTAAGGTCATTGGGTGTGTGAAGCAAGGAGGCTTGGGCCAGATATGCTTCAGGACCTAGGAGTCGGTGGTACCTACCTATCCCACACCGTCTGTGCTCTCATCCCTGCTATACTTCTTGTCCTCTGACACCCCCCCCTCCAATACACATACACACATTAGTGTGATAAGCAAGTACTTATCAAGAATCCTGGAGACTGCTGATCTTCGGATGGCATTTTCTGGGTTCCTGCCACAAAGCAGGATTTAGCCTAATACGCAAACACTGGAGGAGATGGGCACTTGGGAGCTGCCCTTTCAGCACTGTGTAAGCAGTTGGGGGAGGGGGCAGGGGACTGGTAAAGCCGGAGGACAGATCAGTGCCCCGTGACTTCTGTAGCCATGGAAGTTGTGAGGTCTGGGGGATCGTTAATTACTTCTCTGCAATCCCTCAGTGACCTTGTACCACCTAAGCTGGGTTCATCACATTGACCTTTTGAAGCTCTTGTCCATAAAGCAAGTTCCTATAAGAAGTAAATGGATAGTATTTGTTAATCCCTCTGCAGCAGCAGACTATATATACAAGGTAAATTTATGACATTTGAGAGGCTTGTTTGCCTCTCACCTGGTCTAGAACATGTCTAGAAAAGAGTTATTTTATCCTTTCCTTTAAGACCCCATCAGCACAGCCTTCAAACATTGGGTTTGCTAACCTTAGTGTCCTTCTTTAAAGGCCGCTTTCTCTGGCCCTTATACCCCATTCACTAGAATTCCAAATAATTGTGATTTCAGGGAGACATTCTCGTAAAGTCCATGTTGAGCTGCCACATCCCCTCCAAAGCAGAAGCTCCTCTCTTGGCTCCTTCTCTCCTCTCATGGCTGTGTGCCCCATTCACACCAACTGATCTTTGGAGAAAAAAAGTTAAACTAATTAGTGAACCCTGCCACGTAGTCTGTTCCTCGTATTAGCTTGTAGGTTACTTGTCTTCTGGGAAGGTGAAACCTCTGCAAAAGGAAAAGCCATCACACCTCACCCTCTGATTTGAAGGAAAAGGACTGGTTAGGCACAAAGGTAATGTGGTACTGCTGTTGCCATGAGTAGTCAGCCAGTGAGGCAGAGTGGAGAGCAGGGACCAGGAATGTGCTTGAGGTGCCTCCCTCACAACCACGTTCTAAATGGCCTGGCTAGAAATTCATAAGCTCCACTGGGCTCTTCCTTAATAGTGTCCGAGCTAGAGCAGAACCTTCAGGCACCCTGGCTGATTCTTCCATCTGGAGTTGGGTTGTATGGAGCCACAGGACCAGTCTGTTAGTCTTAGGCTGCACACAGGCCAGTTCCTCATCTGTAACAAGGCCCACAACTCAGCTTTAGGACCATAGCAAAGCCATCTTGGCAGCGTGCCATTAGGTATCTAGGCCTATTGCTCAAAATCACAAAGCTTCGCCTGCTGTGTTCTCCACTCTCCCCAAGCCTGTCCTGGCAAAGACCTTTCAGCTAACTACTGATACTCAAAGTGCACAAACCCAAGTGTTCTCAGATCCAGCCTTCCTTATCATGAGCCCTGAGCTCAATTGGGAAGGGAAAAGGGAGCTCTCATAATGATATTCAGAAAAATTATTACTATGATCATTTTACCATCCTAAATTCATTTGCTTTATTACTTTCTAAGTTATATTCTCCTCCTATCATTTTTATTCTGCCCATCAACCCTTAAGGGCAGCTAATGGCAGGTGAAGTTCATCCCTAGTCTATAGATTTAAAATGGTTAAGACTAGGGATGACCAGCATAGTGACAGACTCCATCTTATAGATTCTCAGCCACAAGTACCCTTTATACAGCCCCACTGACCTTTTATGAGGCCCCAGATGTAGGTGAATAGTAATAATACTGTCATTTATGAGCTTGCGCTGCTCCAGGTGTTTTAAAAACATCATCTCTCTTACTCTCCCCACTGATTTCAATTGTCTCTTTAGTCTGGGAGGTTTAGAGGAGTTGTTGGTTGGTTATGTCCAGGGCTCAGACCCAGGCCTTTCCAACGCTCAAGTCCCTGCCTTTAGTTCTTTCCTGGTCTGCTCTGATTTCCCCTGTGTCTGGCTAATGCTGCTTCTGGGAATCTTGTGAGTCCGTGGCCAGAGAGACTGATGAAGCTGGCTTTTTCCCATCTTCCAAACCCTGGGCTGAGCTAAAGTTGCTCCCTGAGAAAAGGCAAACTTGGAGAGATGCTGAAAGAAATCTCTCTTTGAGAAATGGAAATGAGCCAGTTAAGGGTGGTTTATATAATCTCAAAAGAAACTGTATACCCGCGTGTTCAAGATTCCCCTTTGCCCTGCTCCTTACATCTTACTGCACCTTTTAGATTCTCTTAACAATAGCAGTTTTAACATTGCTTTTAATTAGATGAATTAAAAATGTTCTCTAATGTTATCACCCCCTTCCGCCCCCCTGTCACCTCCAGTTCCCCATTGCTGTGAGGTACTTTAATTTCCATGGTAATGTGACTACAGCCCAGGTTGGCTTTTCACTGGTTGGTCTGGTCAGAGGGACGTTAGGGGCAGTCCCTCCAGGAGTGCTGTGCTTTCCTGGGATTACCTTAAAACAATGAAGTTAGAAGTGCTGCAGGCTCTATGGAGAAAAGTTCATTTCAGCCCCTGCTGTTTCTTGAAAGAATTCTACTTCTACCAAAAATAAGAGGACTCCACCCTCCTCCCCTCTACCACTCCCGAGTTCCCAGACATGTGCTAAGACTCACCCGATTTCCCCGCGTAGCCTTCTCTTCCCCATCTGGAGTTAACCTGCTTCACACACTAGAAGGGACTTGGTTTCTCCCTGGATGATAATGTTCATGATAACACATGGTTTCTTTCCTCTTTCTCCCCAACCCAGAGAGTTTTCAACGTCCTCTACCCCATGCCTGCTGACCAGCGGAGACATGTCAGCATCAACTCTGCCCGTTGGCTGCCGGAGCCGGGGCTTGGCCTTGCCTATGGTACCAACAAAGGAGACCTAGTCATATGCCGACCAGAGTGAGTGGCTCAGGATTGGGGTGGTGGGAAGCGGTGGGGCACATGGGGAGGGTGGGTCATCTAGCCAAGAACTGGAGTGATCAGCATTTCTGGACCTTGGCAGTGAGATGATGTCTTTTAGATGGAAAATGAAACCCTGCTAGAGTCTGCCTTATTCTCCACATTATCCTTAAAGGTTCTCTTTACTCAGGGACTGGGGGCAAGGTTAGCTCTCTGTTCTGGATAGCTTCAAACGGCTGGTCTCATTATTTTATCTTCTTGAAGCTAAAGCAGTATTTTCTTGTTTTCCTCATTGTTCTCTGGTTTCCTAGTGATAGTAAAGTTTCCCTGCAGGCAAAAGCAGAGCTATCAAGGATTTTTTTAAAACCCTTTTTTAAAAATTCAACAGGTGGTCTTAGGTTTGTGTAAATGCCAGAGACATTAACTTAAATAAAATTGGAAGGAAAGTATTGTTAAAACCCTAATTTGTCAAGCTACTGATCTCTGGCAGCCTGGCTCTGTCTGTGTCCTGCCTGTTTTCCTTTCTACTTGAGGCTCTTGCTCATCCTAGTGAGGGCAGAATAAAAAAATCAGAGTTTCAAATCAAAACGATTATTATCTGGTCCTGAAGTGAATGGTAGGAAGGATTTAAAGTCCTGATGATACCCCTTCCCCTTCCTCTGGCTTTTTGGAGGCTAGAAGTCTCTCCAGGCACCTGTTTACTCAAGACCTGGTAGCCAGCCAGGTTTGTCATCAATTTCAAGAGCCAGCCAGGTAGGGAGCGTGGTGCTCTCTGCTTCAGTGCAGATCAGGCTGATTGCTGCGTAGGACACCGCAGGACTCCCGCTGACTAAATGCCACTTCTGCCCCCAGGCCATCCTGAAGCTTTTACTGACTGTGCTGTAGCTCACAGAGCTGTGTGACTGGTCTTGGGGGTGTGGGGGGTCTGGCTATTGGGAGTCTCCATGACATCTTTACATGGGAAACGTAAGTGTCTTTCCTAAAATGTGTGTTTGGATTCCAGGTAAGTAATTAGCTATTGAGCCCTTGACAGCTATGTTGGACAGTGGCCCAGGAGAAAGAAGACCTGGTTCTAAAGACAGCTTTCATTCCATCTTTAATTTTGGGGGCACCATTCAAAGAGATACAGCTGTCTCTACCTGACCTCGGCAGCCTGCTCTTGAGCTGGGAGATTGCAGTGTTGAGAGCTGCCTTCACTCTTACTTGAGCCTTTTCAGAACACCGTCTGCTTCCTTCCCAACTATGCCACCTTTAGCCCAGGTGCTGGGTCTTTCTGTTCTGCCTTTCCCCCTAGCGCACCCATATTCAGAGGACTCTAATAGGCATCTCTCCCCAAACTGACAGAAATCTGGATCATTGTTTTACTCTTGCCAATGCTGTCATTACAAGCCATGATGTTCTTCAGCAGTGTTGCTTTGTTTATGGCTACAACCAGTAATCTTTGTCCAAACCAAACTCACAGCCCCTCCCTTACAAAAGAGATCTGCTCTTATAGAGGCAGACTCTCTAAATGTAGATTGTCTTGGTCACATAGCAAACCCCAACCTACATAATTGATGTGACTCACCGACACCTCAGCCAAACCTAAAGCTGGCTTTGGCCTCCATTTTCTCTTCTCTCCCCGTATGTCATCTTCAGCATCACAGAGCCTTAGCAGGCTGGAGCCATCTTGGGCTGGTTGGGGTTTCTTCCCTCCAGGAACTGGAGCCTCTCCCGTGACTAAGCTGGCACTAGCTATGACACCTCAAACAGACTATGTTGAACAGAAAAAGAACTAGTAAAACCTGTCTTTGTTGGTGTTGCTGTTGCTCCTGAGATCTTGGTTCAGGTTAGCAAGTGCCCCAAATCTTAGACCCAGAGCTTTATAAACTCACTGTCAATTGAGTCAGTTCTGACTCATAGCGACTCAATATTGGGTTTTTGAGACTGTGAATCTTATAGGAGCAACCTCATCTTTTTCCTGGGAAGAGACTGCTGGATTTGAACTGCCAGCCTTTTGGCTATAGATGTCATGTAAATTAAGATAGACTTTGACTTTGTCCCAAGTTGCTCAAAGTTTCCCCAGTTTTCATTTTCGTATCTCTACAGTGTCTTGCCGCAGGTTGGGAAGACTGTGAATGGTGTGCAGGTAAGGAAGTTCAGACTCACTCAGTGACAGAACTGGGCATCCTAACTCTGAGGCCAGGGCTCTCACCTGTTGTTGTTGGCTGCTGTTAGGTGCCACCAAGTTGGTTCTGACTCATGGCGACCTTACGCATAACAGAACGACGTACTCTCTGTTCCCGTGCCACCCTCCCAATTGCTATGTTTGATCCTGTTGTTGCTGCCACTGTGCCAATCCATCGCATTTGAGGGTCTTCCTCTTTTTCACTGATCCACCACTTGACCAAGCATGATGTCCTTCACCAGGGACTCGTCCTTCCTGACATGTTCAAAGTAGGAAAGATGAAGTCTCACCATCATTGCTGTGAAGAAGCAGTCTGGCTTACTCCTCCCAAAACAGATGTGACATATAGTCAGTAACCTTCACCAACACTACAGTTCATACTTCATTCATCCATTGTCCATGCTTCTGCGTGCATATGAGACAATTGAAAATACCATAGCTTGGGCCAGGCACACCGTTGTCCTTAAGGTGACATTTTTGTTTTTTTAGCATTTTAAACAGGTTTGTTTGCAGCAGATTCGCATAATGCAGTAAGTTATTTTATTTCTTGACTGGAGCGTGGTCTCCATATGGTAAGCTCTGAACTGCAAACCACATGGTCCGCAGTTCAAGTTCGCCAGCCATTCCACAGGAGGAAGATGAGACTTTCTGCTCCACAAAGTCTTAAATGCTTCAGAAACCTTATACAGGGTCACTATGAGGCAGAACAGACTCTGTGGCACTTAAGAACCACGAAACTTCCATGAGTGTTGATTGTAGACCCAAGCAAAATGAAATCTTCGACAGCTTCAGTAGTTTTTTGGTTTATCATGATGTTATTTCTTGGTCCATTCGTGAGGATTTTCATTTTCTTTACACTGAGGTGTGATCCTACTGAAAACTGTAGTCTTAACTGTAGTCAGTTCTTAATCCTTTTTGGATAAAAAAAAAAAATCCCTTTAAAATTCTGATGAAAGCAAGTGACTCACTGCAGAGAAAAATAGACCTGACTGACGTTGGGTAGACAAAGCACCACAGTATAGAACCCTTGATCTAGACCAGGTTTCAACATGTAACCGGGTCAGGTGACAGATGCAGTGGAAAGTGAGAGTGGATCAGTGAGAACATGACCATCTTTTAAACAGTGCTCAGACGTAACTGGGGAACAAATAGGGATGCAGGAGCTCAGGACTGTTGTCTCTTTAGTAGGCAGCTGCCTATCCCCATGTGACGCAGCTCCCTGGCACACCCTTTCCCAAGGGCACAGGATGCAGCCAGCCAGCTGGGCCAAGATTGCAGCCCTCCCTCTAAAGCAGGTGGTTGTCTGCCTTTGTCCCAGGCACAAGCGACTGCACCTCATTTTGTGCTCCATCCTGCTCTTGATTTCTCTTCCCTTGTCTCCATCTCAGTTCTCTCTCCAAGCACAAAGACAGAAGAAAGAACAGGCCTCTTAGGACAAATACGCATCTCTTGTGCTACTAATACCCCTCTCTCCCCCACAGTATGCCACCACCTTACCAGTACAAAAAAAGCTTAACAAGACACTCCCTCTGTCCCAGGGAAGAAGGTCTTAGGCTAGCTGAAAAGATCACAAGGGGCCCTTCAGCCCCATTGTATTCAGTGCTGCTACAGTGGCCGTCAGCCCAGTCACCCCACTCTGCCTCCAAGTGAGGCTTAGCTCTCCCCACCCGCCATTCCTCACAAACTGCTGCTGTGCCTCTGGCTGACCGCCAGCCCAGCCAACACCCCCACTGATAACCATATTGGGTATAAAATACCAGATTGGTGTGAGGGGGTGCTCGCTCACTTCCGGCTTTCGAGATCGGCCCTACAATGACAGGGGCGGAGGGTGATGGAATTGAGAGACTCTTATCAGAAGAGAAGTAGGCTGGGACTATGGGCCATCTGGCCTTTTGGCCAAGTGTGCGACTCCAGACAAGGCCCCAGCTCTATCCTTAAGGAGGGAGCTAGCACAGCTATCACTGTAAACAGTCATTATAATCAAACCTCATTGACCAAGGAGGGTATAGGCACACCTCTGAATCCACAGGGGAGCCAAAATTGCCACAGAGGCGACCTCTTTCAGGCTAACCCACAAGTGCCAGGTGCCAGCTCTTTTTCACATCTGCAGAGACAGTGGAGGTAAATGCCAGTCTCTTTGGAAACAGTCCCTCTTTCTAAGGAGACAACCTTGTTGGTCCAAGCCTCTGCAACCATGTAACTGAAAGATGAAAGAAGAATGTTCTTACAAGAAACTGGGTAGTTCTGGTCCAGACGCTCTGTGGTGAGAGCGTGTGACCACCAAGGAAGCCAGGACGGTCCAAGCAGTGAGGAAATCAGTGAGCCAGGCCCAGAAGCACAGTTAACAGATGGCTGCTGCGGGAAGCCGTTTGAAATTTCAACCCTGATTGGCCTTCCCCTTCTTCCTCCTCTCTCTGTATGTTTGCCTAGCTTCCAGGAGGAACCCTGACCAAACAGTGACTCATTCATTCTAAGATTCAAGAAGGAAGGAGATAGCTAGGGTCATTGTTTAGCTCATAGACAGAAACCTAAGTATTAAAGACTGAGTTTCAGTAGCCAGAGCAGACTCCTTGGTTCAGTACCTGGAATGTAAACCAAACCCCTGAGCTTGCAATAGTCAAGCTATTCTGATAACAGAAAGTAGAATATATTAGGGCTTAGAATTAGGCCTGTTTGGGGGGAGCAGGAAGGATGAGCGTGATGGGGGAGAGTGGAGCAGTATGCCCGATACAGTAACCAGAACCCCCATTCTGCTTGGCAGGTGGCCTCTTCAGTAAGTGTCTTTACTGAAGTAGCTAGGCATGCAGCTCAGATGGACAGTGTTTGAGGGACCGTATGGCCACAAGCAGTACATTGACATTCCCAGGACAGACACTGGGCCTTCTGGTGACATCTTATCTGACACTAGAAGGAAGGTTCCTGATCATGTGTGGTTTAGTGAAGGTTCGCGGTCTTAAGCCAGCCCCAGGTAGTAAGAATTTCAGAGATGGGATCTGCCGCCTGTCAATAAATCTCGTAAATCAGAGACTCCCTAGTGATGGACTTCACATAGTACCCAACACAGCCAGATTGCTTGCTAAAAATTACAATAATGACTTTGTGTTTGGATGCATCTGCCATTGGAGGCCAGTTGACTTCTGGCCATTTGCCTCTTGCCTGACTAAAGATCTGTCACCTCAGCTTCCACAGGGTTTTGAAAGAGGAAGGAGCTATACCACCTTTTACAGGGGTGGCCCAAACTGATCGTAACCAATCCATAGCCCGGCCACCCTCCAAAGGGCACTGAGTACAGAGTGAAGGGAAGGGCCCTTTGGTTTGGCATGGCTCTGTCCTCTCAACGAAACTTAGTTTTCCCTCACTGATGCCTGTGACCCAGAATCTTAGTGACCCTGTGAAGACTGACTTGGGCTTAGTTATAGGGTCCCTGGGTGATGCAAGTGTTAAGAACTTGACTATTAGCCCAAAGGTGGGTGGTTCGAACCCATCGAGAAGTGCCTTAGATGACAGGCCTGGTGATGTACTTCTGAAAGTCACAGGCTTGAAAACCCTGTGGACCAGTTCTGCTTCACACACGGGCCGTCATAAGTCAGAATTGACTGGTGACAGCGAACGACCACGTAACAGATCCCCCTCTGACACAAAGCCCTCCTCATCCAATCCCTGTCAGGTGTCTGACCTGTGTAATCCTCAGGGCTTGGAAGAAAGTGTCTCACAGTTCCCCCCAAACTCCTCTTCCCTGCTGTCTTTGTTCTCTAGTGCTGCTATAACAGAAATCTCACAAGTGGGCGGTTGTAACAAACACATTTATTTCCTCACAGTTTAGGAGACTGGAAATGGCCTTTAGGGTGTGAGCTCTAGGGGACGGCTTCCTCTCTGGCTCTGGAGGAAAGTCCTGGTCTCTTCAGAGCTTCAGCTCCTCGGCGGTCTTCTCATGACTTGTTACGTCATGCCCCAGCTCTGCTTCCTAAAATGGAGCTCTAACTACCTGTGGCCTAAAGTGAAGACTTTCAGCACCTACTTAGGGGCAGAGGCACCGGTTAAGCCACACAATCCACTGACTTTCACTTTCTTTTTTTTTGGTCCCCTATTGAAGTGTGCGCTCTGTTGTTACGGGAAGTGACCTGGGCCTCTGGGATGAAATCTTGGCAGTGCTCTTCAAGCACATACCCTGCCCAGGAGAGCTAAGCAGGGGGCTCAGCGATGCCTCCCCCCAGCACTTCCCCTGCCACGGGGACTGGTGCTCAGTAATGCCTCTTTCAGGAGGAAATGGGTAACAGGGCAGCCGAATGGTCTGGGACCCACCACCATCAGCCAGGCTTGCTGCCTGCAGTGGCAGACCAGCTTGGAAAGATAGGAGGACACCTCTTCCCTCTGGCAGCAGCTGTGCCAGCGTGAGATGGGAAGGTGCTCCTTGTGAGCCCATCGCAGCAAGAGAAAGAAGTGCCCAGGAAACTTGGCAGCCCAGAGACCTGGGTAGATGGCAACTTCTCTCTGCAGCCACTTGACAGTGTTCGCTTAAGAAAGGCGTGAGCACTCATGGCAGCATCTGGGATTCTAGGAGCACTTTGTCAGCCTACCCTGGCCAAGGGGGAGCTGGGTTCTGAAAACAAGAGGGTCCTTCTGGCTCATTGTGGGCTTTCTTCCAACCTAGACAAACGTGAGCTCCAGGCAAAAGAAAACTGGAAGGGTGCCCTGATTCTCCTTCCTCCTGACCCGGTGGCAGCAGGGAATCCCCGTAGCAAGGGCCACTGAAGTGCCCCCTCTAGGCACAGCTACCCATGTCACTTGTCTCTCCAATGGGCCTTTCTCCCATGGTCTTCGTTTCTTTCTCTTCATCTGGAGAACACACAGAAATCACTGCCTGAATCCGGTGTTGGTATTTCTTAGCCATCGCTTACCCCAGAGGGAATGGGTTAGGCTTGTCTGAGGGAAGAAGAGGCTATAACCACAGGCACTAGGACCATGAACGATTTGTTGAGCTGCTCCACACTCAGCACCCTCTTGAAGGAGTGAGTGTCTCTGGTCCTGCCCCAGCCCCAGCCCCAGCCCCAGGAGAGAGAGAGAGAGAGAATCGCTGCTAAGCCACAGCCCCCCTCCCCAAGCCCAGAAACTCTGTGGCACCCTTGTGGTTCCCTCTCTGATTCCATCTTTGCTTCTCCACTCTTCCCAAACACTTTCTAGAGCCTTAAACACTGGGATTGAGTACTACTGGGACCAGCTGAGTGAGTCTGTCTTCACTATCCACTCCAACAGCCGGAGCAGCGAGCGGCCTGGGTAAGCTGAAGCAATGTTCTCCTTAGCCATAGCAGCTCCCCTTGGACCTGCTTCAGATTCTGAGCTCTGGCCTCCAATTTCATTTGAGAAAAGGGTTTCACAGACAAGAAAGAGAACAAAAACTATTGCTCTCAAGAGTCTTGCTTCAGAATAAACTGGGAAGCCCTCAGCCTTCTGCCCTCCTCGCCATGGTATCGGTGTACAGTTGTGGGGAGAGAGAGAGAGGACAGGGCCTTGGAGAAAGATGCTGCCCTGGGAAGTCTGCTCTTTGGCCTATCTGAGAGAGCTCAAGGGGACTTAGAGGAATCTGACACCAATCCTCTTAGTATTTAACTCACTAATGAAGGTGGGAACATTTGGAGAGGGGAATGCTGAGTAGATGATAAACCCAGTCAGTCACCACATCCTGTAAGAGTTGAGGGCCATACTGGAGGTATTGTCTCCAGAAACAGCTAGAAATATGCATGTCTGGTAACCATATTATAGGCCCTGGGCTCCCTCTTCTGCCAGCTCCAATTATTCCAAGGGTCAGTGACTAGAAACTAGTCTTTAGGCTTGGGTTTGGGATTGGGCTGTAAGTGTAAGACAGTTTTGGTGTCCTACCTGCAAGGGTCTTTAAGAAGCCATGGTTGGAGGATCCCAGGATAACACTATAAAAATCCCAGGTCTTTTTTTTATTTTTTTCAATGCAGAAATCTCAGACCATGTAGAAATATCTAAGAATGTCAACTGAAATTTTATCAGCACATAGTTAGAAAGAGTATAAAGCTAACAAAAGAAACTAGACTGTCCTCCACTGCTTACCCTGTTTCCCATGGATCTCAGCTGGGGGCTTCCTGAATCTAGAGAATAACCATCTTCACTTTCCTAAAAGACCCATATTGGGTTCAGATTGGATGGTCTGTGGTCTCCTACTTCATCCCAGGTTTGAGACATGGTGGGCCAGCAGAGCACTATAAGGAACACCGGCCCCACCCTGCCTGACTTCAGTTTGCCTCTCTCCCTAGAACCAGCAGAGCCACATGGAGGACAGACAGAGACATGGGTTTGATGAATGCCATTGGGCTGCAGCCCCGGAACCCCACCACCTCAGTGACATCTCAGGGCACCCAGACTCTGGCCCTTCAGTTGCAGAATGCCGAGACACAGACCGAGAGGGAGGTACAGGACCTAGGGGCGGCAGCCTCAGGTCCGGGTGAAGGTAGGACCATTCAGTGCTGGGGGTGGGGTAGGGCAGAGGGGCTGGAAGCATCATCACCCCTCCTGGTAGAGGCTCCTGGTCCCTCAGCATGGACAGGTAGTGCTGAGAGTGCCACTTCTTGCCTGGGTGAATCCCCTCACATGTCTGGACAGTGCCCACACGGTGCATCAAGAGCCTCCTCAAGCAGAGTGTCCTTTCCCTGAGCTGCTACTCCATTTCCAGGGGCAGCTTTGCTCAGTTCCCACCAAGTGCCCTGACCTCCCTCTCCCCCCACACTGGATAGGCCTGCAGGAGAGGCCCTTCCAAAGACCAACATCCCTGCTCGGAGCATGGGGTGAGCTGGTACAGCAGATTAAGGACTGGAACTCCTGGCTCATGCCACCTTGGCTGCAACCTGGCAGACCAGTTTCTCAAGTGTGGCTCAGCCAGCCTCGGCTGCTTCTGTGCTGGCCTCACACCTCTAAGAGGCAATTAGCGCACCCCAGGAGTAGAGCTGGGGTCCCTTTGGAGTCTGGCAGCAGCTGTGCTATGTAGGCTGTTCTCACTCAGACCTTCTCCTCAGCCCCCAGGCCCCTTGCTGGGCCCAACACCAAGCCAGACCCACATTGTCTGGGTCTGTGTTGAGCCATTCAAAGGGAACTGGGGAGGAGAGACCGTGGAATCAATCTGGCAAAGATCAACAGATGTGCCGGTGTCACCCCAGGAATGACTGACTGTGTGGCAGCCTCCCTAGGGGACCAGCCCTCTCACTGTTTAGTCTTGGTCCCAGCCCACTTCCTCCATTTGAGGCCCATGGCTCTTTGTGGACTCAGCAGCTGACCATGCTCGGTGGGATGGCCTGTTGCAACCCTGAGACTCAGTGCTGAGAGGAGTGGAGAGCTGTGTCTGCCATCCCCAGACCTACTTCTGCAGGTTCCCATGGACTCCAGGCAGCTCACAGAAGCCATCACAGGATCTTTATCCTCCCCCTCCCAGGAGGGCAGCCTTGATGAGCTGTCCCCCGATAACTCGGGGCGAGTAGGCGGGGGGGGGGGGGGGGGGGGTGTTTGGGGAGGTGATTTCCTAGCCATGTACCCGTTAAGTAGCTCTCAGACTAGGGTGGGCGACAGGCTCAGGAGCAGACAGAAAGTCTTCTGAGCATACTAGAGTCGGGGCCTCTGAGGAGCCTTCTGGGGAGGAGACCCCTGCACTGCATCTTATGGGAGGAGTAGGAGTTGGGCAGCATGGTGGGTGGGGTGGGTGGCCTTCCTGACTGAGGGGGCACACGTGCAAGGGCACCAAGCTCGCACACCCTCACTGCTTAGAGGACTGCTGGCAGGTATATGTCCAGGGCATGTATGCACATGGCGAACTAGGCAGGGAGAGCAGTTGACAGGCTCAGCTTGGGAAGTAGCTATAGGTGGCATCCAGGAGGAGCTCGGGACAGGGCCTGCCACCTCCAAGAAGAGAATTCTTGTTTATCTGGATTTTTGTTTTTCATTTCATTGATCTAAGTGACTCTCTCTCTTCTTGTGGAGGGAGTATGTGGAGGGTGGGTAGGAGGGAGAGAGCGCTCCATTTCAAGAAGCAGCGGCTCCGGGAGGTGTGGGGAGTGGTGAGCCCATCCCAAGTCAGCAAGAGGAGAGATGCCCGGCTATGAGTCTTGGCAGGGTCAGGCAGCTCACCGCATCCACCTGGAACCCTGGGGACTTCGCCTAAAGCTCTGGACTCCAGATTTTCTAAGCACCACAGTCCCTTTCAGACAGACAGCCCCGATCCTAGAAAGCAGTGTGCTTGTGTGCTTGGATGTAGGAGAGGTTGCTCGCCTTGTTCTGAGGCGCTCACCCACTGACTGACAAACCCCTCTGCTCAAGTTCCCCACCCAGTAGACAGCACTGCTGCTGTGCACACCACCTGCTCCCTTCCAGCCTGGCCTCACAGCCTCATCTTGGCAAAATGCAGCCAGGTTGGCACGAACATGGGCAAGAAACACCTGGGCAGAGAGGTTAACCCTTCTTCCAGTCTTAGCTGGAAGGTGGTTCCCACCTGTGTATACATTCACACACGGGCCCCAATTTTTCCATTTCCTGATAGCACTGAGGGGTCCCCAGAATGCTTCTCATTTTCTTGTTCTATAAAAATTCAGTTAAAATGGCGCTCTTCTTTCAAGACTTGTAGGAAGGGGTCCTCCATGAGAGAACTTGCATCTATCTGTCCAGCTTTCCTTAGTGGAAATGTTTGACCCTTTCCAAATCATGCCTTGGACCCAGAAGCAGGCTTCCCTCCAACTGCTGGCCAAGAGGGGGTGCTCAGACAGTGTAGAGAGCACACCCTGGGCTTTCCTCACTGCCCTCAGCTCTCTGTATGGTGGCTCTTGACTCATCTTTCTCAGTGGATGCAGGGACTGTGTGTGTTCACTGTTTGCTCCCAGCTTGGGCACCGTTCCTGCCTGGTGTACAGTAGACACCCAGGACATGTGTAGATGGAATGGATTGAGCTGATGCAAGGCCTGGACCCTGAGCCTCGGCCCTGCCTATGGCACTGCCTCTGACCACTGGTAAAAGGCCTTCTGTGTTTCCATCTTGTTTGTTGAAGAGAGTAGCTGTGATGTGAAAAGACAGGAACTAAAAGATCACTCTGCCTGCGGCCTGAGGTCAAGAAAGGCTATATGCCACCTCTGACTTGCTGACCCTTGCTTCCCTCTTCTGGACAGTGAAGCCCCACAATTATATCCAGGCACAAGGCATTGTAGGAAGTTGCTGGCCCCACACTGGCCTTTACATCTAGAATGTAGCGTAGATCTTGCCAAGGAAAAGATTGCTTATCAACATCAAATCACTTTACCATTTTTCAAAGAAAAACGCTTTTGCTGCCAGATAGGATACAGTCCCCGCTGCTTCTGGTACTGAGAGCTTGGGTCCCTGGCCATGACTGCTGTTGCCTTCAGGCCCCTATATTTTTTTCCTCTTTAAGAATGTCCCGGCTGATCTCAGTGGTACTTAGCCTTGGATTAGTGTTCCCAGGCGAGAAGCCAGCTCTGGCTGAGAGCACTCTCAGCTGGAGATGTCCACACGGCGCCTGGGGAAGCCATTCATGAGGTGGTTCTGAATCCTTACGTCACTCTTTTGTGAACACTACTTTATGGCAGGTGCTGTAATAGGCGCCTGAATCTAATGGCATTTTAGAGAAAATGATTCTCTTTCTCAAGGAGCAAGTCCAAAAAGGAAGTTGTTGTTAAGTTGCCGAGTTGACTCTGATGACGCATAGCGACTCTGCATAGGGGTGTCCGAGGAGCAGCTGGTGAGCTTGAACTGCCAACTTTGCAGTTCAAATGGTTTTGCAGTCTGGTGCATTAACCCACAGTGCCACACACCAGGACTCCAAAAGGAAATAGACATATAAATGCTTTTCCCCAACAGGGTGGCCGTGGGAGGGGGATGGGGGTGGGGTGGGCAGGCAGCGGTGCCAGGTGACCAAGTTCCAGGTGTATCCATCATACATTCATGTGACAAGTGTAAGCCCATGCGTTAGGCACTGGACCCAGAAGTGAGTAAGACCTAGTCCACCTTCCAGTTCTGAGAGGAGACTACAGCCACCCATGGGGCTGAGTTGGGGGCACCCTGGAGGAGCTGCCACTTTCAGCTGGGGGCTTGTGAGACTTGGTGAGAGATGATGTTTGCTGTAAAGTCAGTAGACTTGAGACATGGGGTGGCAGCAGAGCAGGCGTGTGTGACAGCAGGCTCAGAACAGACACCTGGGATCTGATGGGAAGTTCCTGGGTGCGTGCTAAGTCCAGGCTCTGCACCACGTGGAGAGGGAAGAGGTCAGGAGCAGGCAGACCAGTCAGTAAACAATGGTCCATCATCACAAGAGGTGGTCAAGCTCTGAGCCATTGACGAGTCATAGGAGAGGATGGAGGGCTAGCCCAGGGTCTCAGGGTCCCAAGACAGCTCTGACCTGCCCTCAAGGGGCCACTTGAAAAGAGCTGGTAGCTCTCCCAATGGAGAGGCCAGCCAGCCATAGCTCCAGGGATGGGTGTTGTTCAGAGCAGAGAGTTCTTAGAAAGCATGGGGTGGGGGACAGGGTGGTAGAGTGTGCTGAGCAGTCCCCATGGGCCTTTCCCAGGTCACTCTTTTGGTTGTGCTGGTACCGAGGTGCCCTGGGTGTCCAAAGACCTTTCCCCAGAGAAGGCGGGGAGCTGCAGGATGGAAAGAGCCCATCGGGTTTCCCTGAGCTCTGGAGCTGAGCTGACCAAGGAGGATGTGTACAGGAGCTGTGCAGAGGTCACACAGGGCCTGGGACTGAGGAGAGATGTTTTACCAAGACCCAGAGGAGGGACCACTAGCATGAGGCTGCTGAGCACTGGTGAGGGGGGAGGCCCACTGGGAACTCAGATCCGCTGAGCTGTGAACCTGGCTGGTCTGGAAGTCCAGCTCTAGTGAGGCAGAGAAAAGGGGCAGAGAGGGCGCAAAGACAGCAGTTCCCAAAATGGAAAAAAACTCCTTACCACCCCATTCAGTCAAACCCCAAATCGGCCAGCAAGTGACTAGTTCATTCAGCCCAGCCTTGGCAGCCTCAGTCTGCTTGGTTCCCATCCTCCTGAGCTTGGCACGGCTGTAAGCCTTGGGTTACCCAGAAGTCACCGGTCCTGAGAACACTGTCTGCACCTCACCTCACCTCACCTCCTCCGTCCAGCATTGTGCAGAGCAGCTGACTTCATCCCACTTTACATCAGGAAACTGAGGACATGGCATGTCCGAGGACTTATCTAAGGTAGCATAGCTTGTAAGTGGCAGAACTGAGCTTATCTGCTCTCACAGTGGGGGTGGCCAGCCCTCCCTGGCCTCTTCTCTGAGCAGGTAGGTTGCAGCCTCAGGCCTGGGCTGGGCAGTTAGCTCTCCAAAGAAAGAGGAGGGTGGTATTGGGCATGTAGTCCTAGGAGAACAGTGTGTGAGAATCACTTGTGAGACTTAGAGGGGGGAAGAGAGACGACACAGAAATCCTTCTAGGGAACAGAGTGAAAACCCAGGCATCCTCATGGGCTTTTAGGGGGTTATATCAGTATGGCACTGTAAGGTAATCACTGGATAGCCAACCACAGGTGGACAGTTCAAACCCACCAGCCATTCTCAGAAAACCCTTATACGGTGTTGCTATGAATCGGAAGCGACTTGACAACACTTAACAACACAACACTAATCAGACAAGTAGCACTGAGAAGAAGAAATGAAGTAGGACAGACATTTGTGTTTGGGCTAGCAGCACCCTGCAGAGTGGTCACCTTGAGTCTACTGCCCAGGCCACAGCTCATTCCCAGTCTCTCCTGCTTTCTTCCTTCCAGGGGAGGGCTCAGAGTACGGTGCCGGTGGGGAAGACGCCCTCAGCAGGATCCAGAGGCTGATGGCGGAGGGGGGCATGACTGCTGTGGTGCAGCGGGAGCAGAGCACCACCATGGCCTCCATGGGCGGCTTCGGCAACAACATCATCGTCAGCCACCGTATCCACCGCAGTTCTCAGACGGGGGCTGAACCCGCTGCCACCCGCGCCACCTCGCCCCAGCCTTCCACCTCCAGGGGACTGCTTCCTGAGCCTGGGCAACTAACGGAACGAGGCTTGAGCCCCCGGACAGCTTCCTGGGACCAGCCTGGGACCCCTGGCCAGGAGCCACCCTCACCCACTCTGCCCCCTTCCTCCCCAGTCCCTATCCCTGTCCCCCTTCCCAGCACTGAGGGACCAACCCTGCACTGCAACCTGACCAATCACAGCCACCTTCCAGATGGAGATGGCAGCAGCAGGGCGGATGCTGCTGGCCCCAGCGGGGAGCCTCGGAACAGGTAGAGACAAAAGCACGCGCACTGGTGCCTCCCCTGAACCACTGAGCAGAGACCGGACCTCACAGCTGACTGGGAACTGTCCACGAGGAAGAGCTGCTGGCTGCATCAGGGAACAGAGGTGTGAGGGTGGGGGGATCGAAAGGGGCCAGACAGTGGACAGGAGGCCTGCCTTGGGGGACTGGAGCCTGCCAGAACCGGAGCCCTGGAGGGCAACAGTGCTGGGCTCAGTGTGAACAAAGAAGTAAGCAGGTGTCAGCCATGAGCTTCCCTATCTCCTCGGAACGTGAGCTCTGGGCACGCAGCCCTGTGTAGAGTGCCCCAGAGGGTGAGCAGTCTTCCAGAGCTGGGCCAAGCATCCTGCACAGACGCCAATGGGCAGGGCCACCAGGAGCCCAAGGACAGGAAGAATGGCTGCCCTGGAAACCCCCTGTATCTATGAGCCTCCACAATTCCAGCCTCTCTGCTTCACCTCACCCCATAGAAACAGTCGGGCTGGGCCGGGCGCCCAGGTTCCCGAGGATAGGGACTTCCTGCACTTACTACTGGGGACAAACCCACCAGCTTGCCTGATGGGTAAAGGGGCAGTGGGCAGGCCCTCACTCAGCAGTGTGTGCGGGGGGGGTGTCGGATGGCCCACTCCCAGACTTGTCTCCCCCAGCTCCTCCCTCCCTGCAAGGGCCTCAGAGTACCTGTGGGTGTCAGTATTACTTGAGCCTAGGCCAAAGCCAGCTCGGGCCTGGGGGAGGGGATGAGACTCCAGGTCAGAATGTGAGGTCTTGGTGTGTGATTTAAGGTGTTGCATGTGGAATCTTGAACTGTATATGTAGTTTCTAGTGGAGAAAATCAAGGCTCTGATGATTTTGTTTTTAGTATGAAAATGTGATTTCCTTTCTGTTTGTAACTCATAGAAACATTGTGGTGGGAGGAGAGGGGATAGTCTGACTGCTAATGAGGGAAACACCAAAGATCTACATCATTAAAATGATGACATGCCCCTCGCCCGGCTCCTTTCCTTTCTTTTATTTATTTATTTATTTTATTTCCACAGAGGATGACGGAGAGGGTGGCGATGGGGTGATGGGCATTGAACTGAGTCAGATGTGTGGTGCTGTTGTCCTAGGTGGGGAGGAATCCTGTCTGACTCTTGCCTGCCAGAGCCAATCAGCACTCTGGTGATACCACCACTTCCAACTTCCCAGGGGCCTGTTAAGTATTGGGGCAACCTTTCAATGGCAGGTGGAATGTCACATCTGATGGCTTCCTATCCAGGATCCAGGAGTAATGCCTGAAGGAAAGACAGAAATCTCGAACTACCCGTGTCAAGGCTGGCCCGGCAGACAGCACATCCTGTCTGCAGTCATCTCCCAAAACACCATTTACTGGCTGTTTGGGTTTCCCTTTATGTCCCTCCATGTGGTGGCTGTCTCCATGGATCTTGACCACTTCAAGTTTCAAGCCAATAAGGATGTGGGAGAGGGTATCTGCCTCAACTCTTAGACTTATAAAGGAAAATCAGAGCCATCCTCAAAAGTTTTTTTGCCTGCAACAAGTAGTTGAGTATCTTGTGTGCCCAAATTCATACCAGATGCAGAACTGTAAGTTTTGCTTCAGGAGAGATAAAACCAAAACACAAAACAGGCAAGGAAGTAATAGAAAACAGCGAGAGAAGAGTTACATAGATTGGAATATGAGGATTTTCTGTGACAGTGAACTCTGAACTAAAAGACACATCGACTAGTGTAAACCATGTGCCCGGACTTTCAACTACCTCCTCACCAGCATCACAAGAACCCTCTGGTTTAAGTATAGTTGCTACCTCCAGATCACACAGCTAAAATGGTGGAGCTAGGGTTTGAACTCATGTAGTATGCATGATTTGTGCCTGCCAGCCTTGTCTCTGGGGAAAGATGAGGCGTTCTATTGCCACAAAGATTTAAAGCCTCAGAACCCTAGACTGGGTCACTCTGATTTGGAATGGACTCGATAGCACTTAACGACAGTGTGATTCCAGAGTGTTCACCAGTACTCTTGAGTACTTACAAGAGTCTAAATGTGTCCGAAAGGATAGGACTCTGGCTCTGTTGCTTTGGGGAAAGGGGTATGATGTGGCCCTGTGGCCTATTTGAAGAGTACTTCCTGGCCTCATAAACACACTTCCACTCTCCCAAAAGGCCCACCCATTCTCTCTTGGGTCTTAGGAGGGATGTGCAAAGTAGTACAAACACAGGACTGATAAATATTTGACACATGAACCAAATGAAACCGTTTCCTCCTCTTAGAAACTAGAGCAAGTACATAGCGCTACTTTCCTCAGTAATGAGGTTCACGGGAGACCATGTAAGGGATGTAGCTTCTTTCCTGAGCAGCACACCCCTTGCCCCAGGCATACTGGGAGCCCGACTTGCGTTTTCAGCCTGAACCATGGCCTGAACCTTGAGGTGCCGCTCTTAATTCTCGTTTCTGCCCTTCCTCTGGCAGCCCTAGACGCCTCTCCACTGCTGTCCCCGCTTCCACCTTCTCACCCCCCTTTAAACCCCATCCAGACCATGGGGGGAGGGTAGAGGAGAAGCGGGACCTGAGTAGTTTTTCTAAGAGTTGAAAGTATGCACTTTGAGAGTTTGGAGCTGACAGGCCTAGGAGTCCGGGATCAGAGGGCAAGTCCGATTGGTGGCTTAGCCGACAGAGCTCTCCGTGGTGCTGAAGCCACCCCGCGCTCTGATTCGCGGGGGAAGCCCCAAGTCCTGAGGCTCCCATCGATCGGTGAGGCTCCTGGAACTCTCCGAAACCCGCAGCTCGCCCTCGGGGTTACTACCAGGCTCCGCCCCAGATGACCTTGGGCACCGGATTTGCCCTCGAAGACCACCGTGAACCAGTCCTCCAGGCTCATCTATCCTGGTGCTGAGAGCTGGTGCGCGCCCCTTCCCCGACATCGGGGGCTAGAGACGTCGGTAACGTGCTGACTCGTCGGTGGGCTTCTTCCTGCCCCTTCCCAGGGGCCCGCGAGGCCTCCATCGGACCCCTTCCCCCCGAGCCAGCCGGCAGCTAACACGGAGCCCCGAGTCTGGAAACTGAGGGCCTCTGCCTCGACGGAACCAAACCCACTCATCATCGTTGGGGTCAGGGTGAGCGGTGCCAAGTAGACGAGGTCGCGACCCCTAGGGATCTCCGACGCGCGGACAACGCCAAGGCGGAGAGCGCAGCCAGACGGGGCAGCCAGCTCTATCCCCTGTCCACGAGGGGGCGCCACGTCCCCACGACAATGCGATGCCCCCTCCCCTCCCGGAGGGCTGTTTGCGCTGCCTAGCCGCCGCGCGGCCGTAGGCGGTGGCCCCACAGTGCCCGGGCTGAGAGCTGCGGGCCGGCTTCGGGGAGGGGCGCGAGAGTTGAGGGTCCCTGACGCTCCGGGTGGTGCCCCCAGCGCGTCGCCGCTGGGTGGCCGACCCGGGGCGGGCGTCGCGGCCCCACCACGATTGGCTGCTTCCCGTGACATCACGCGGCTACTAAGTGCGAGCGTGAGCGCGAGTCGGAGCCACAGCGCCGGGAGCTGCGGGCGGAGCAGGGGCCGCCCCTCCGCACCCCGTCCCCGCCCCCGGCCTGGCAGCCCGCTCCGCCCGCCGGCCCGCAGGGCCGCCCGTCTGTCCCACCGTCTGTCCGGTGAGAGGGGAGCGGGCCGGCGGCGGAGGGTAAGTGACTCCGCAGCCGCGCGGGGGCGGGAGGCTCAGTTGGGGGAGAAGGATGCCGGGCTTCGGGACCCCCCTGAGGCTCCCGGAAGGTGGGTCCGACCCGTCAGGGCCCAGGGCCTCGGGGACGAGCGCAGAACTGGGCACCGCTAAGAGTCCGGGGCTGGGAACCCCGGGGAGAGAAAGGCCCGGCGACTCTCAGAGGCTTCCCCAGTTGCGCCTCGGGGCAGGGTTGGGTGCTCGGGAGGTGGGAGGGTGTCCCCACGCAGCCCCCTGGAGCCAGGGCTGCCGTCGGGGCGGGCCCCGCGCTCCAACCTCCCACTGGCGACTCTGTAAAGCGCCGGGCACTGGAGCCTACGGGGGCCTTTTTCCCGCCTGCCTCCCCGCCCTCCAGCGCCGCCAGTCCACTCGGACTCTTGGGGTCTCTAGGAGCGACCTTGAGACCCGACGGAAAACACCCTGCCGTTCTCAGGCAACCTTTCCCCGCTTTGAGGCGACCCCCTAGGTTACCCAAACACCGAGCCGAGCCGAGCCGAGCCGTGGAGGTCCAGCGGGAAACCCCAGGCAGGAGCCAACGTGTCGGGAGCAATGTCGTTGCCAAATTGCCTGCGCCCCCTCTCCCTCTCTTGAACTCCTGAGTCCTCTCCCGCCACAGGCACAAATCCAAGAGCCACTGCCTTCCTGGGGCCCTGGAGTGAGCGCCTACGAACCGAGGAAGGACCCATGCCCTAAACCACCCCATGGCATCCTGAATCCCGGCTCCTCGGGTTCCTGTCTGGTCCAAGAGAGGGGCTGCCAGGATCTGGGAAGACAGTGCCTATGCCCAGAGGCTGCGGGAACTGCGTACTAGGAGAGTTGTGGGGGGGGCAGGGCATCGAGAGCCCCCTCTATCATGACAGAGATGTAGCGGGACCTCCCGCTGGACCTAAGTGTCCTGCCCAACTCTACCCTCGAGGTTCATGGCGCCAAGGGCTTGAGAAGCCCGGTGCTCACTTTGTGGCTCGGGCCAGGCGGTGCCTTCCCAGTGGGGAACATGAAGGAGAAATAGCTCCTTGTTACGGTATACTGCCTGCGCCCTCCCGCCTGAGGCTGACCACCTTTTGGCAATATTGTGCCAACGGGCAAGGGCATGCTAAGCAGAGCTGGGTGTCCCCGAATGGCCAGGTTGGGGGACTCTCGGAGAAGCCCCCCACAGAAGTCAGTCCGAGGCGGGAACGCGAACGCCTTTGGGTACCCAGCAAAAATGGTGTCCCAAGGTCATGAAGGACCCATCGAAGTCCGAAGGGTAAACTGGCTTGGGCGGCCTGCAACACTATCCTGCCCC